TTAAACTTTTTTTTTTTTTCCCCTTTTTGTCTTTTTTACTGACTGGGAACGGGATGGTAACCCTTGGTGTCGCGCCCATACCGGGGCCCGGCAACGGGATCACACCCCTCGGGGTTACGCCCGCACCGCGCTCAGCCAGTGAGCGGGAACTGGTCTCCACATGGGATCCAAACCCTTGGCGGGAGCGCCACCACACTCCCAAGCGGCGCACTCTCCAGTGTGCCACCGGGCCGGCCCAAACATTTTTTTTAAAAAACAAAAAAAGAACAAGAAAAACTCGAATCTGCAAAGAACTATAAAAATATCAAGAAAACAACCTTTGGCCTAATGGAGTTTCTTCCAAATATTTGCATAATTTATTTATACTACATTTTCATATACAAATGTATCAAGAAAAAAAGGACACAAAGTTACCCATAAAAGTTGGTAAAAGAATTTTATTATGTGGTTTAGGTAGGTCTTTGCATTCTACTAACAGAAAAGCATTTTTCCACACCTTACTCAACCTAACGAATAATATATTTGTGATTTTATCTACATGGTTGCAGTACTTGTTACACTATTGAAGAAAACCTTCCTTTCATATGTACTTTGGTGAAACTGTACAGTAGATACTTCTTCCTCCAGAAAATAAAAATATTCTCAATCTAAACTCAAAAGGAACAAAGACATTAACACCAAGTTTCTGCACCACTTGGTAGAAGATTGCAATAGAAATCAAAACAGTATGCTGCTTACTACAAAGAAAATGAGACATCTGCCACAGTTTCAGTCAAACCTTTGTAGGAATGATTTAGCATCTGGGTTATTTTTACTGTAGTTTTCACATATGATAGGTGGAATTGTACCACCATGGAAAATAGTCTCATTTGCACAAGAGATTCAAATACTGGACTCCAGCACAGGAAATGTCTCCTGGGGCTTAGTAATATACAAACAGATAGGGAAAAAATATTGCCTTAAGAAAAATTTCACAATTGTTTGACTAAACATCTGAAACGTTTTTATCACAGCTTTCATGTATTAAAAGTTTCTTCCAGAGATGAAGCTTATTTATAAAATAAAACCTAGTCGCTATCATCTGACCCACGTTCTGAGCCTCGATCTGAGGCCTCATTGTTGGATCCTTCTGGTTCTGATTCATTTCCAGAGCCTTGGGCAGAACCCTCATTATCAGATCCTCTCTCTGATTCGTGTTCTGATTCGACACTTGGAGAAGCTGGACGGGAGTCATTCTCAGAACCTCCTGAGTGGCTTCTCCCTGACTGCACCGATTCATTGTCAGACTGTTCGGAACCTGAGGGCCTTCTCTTTCTGGATGGTTGGTCACTGTCTGAATCCTCATCTGACGGCTGTCTTCGGGGACTCTGGGGACTGCCAGCCTCGCTGCCAGACTTGTTCTGGTTCTCATCGGAATCACTCTCTGATGAGGCATGTTTCTTCAGTCGCTCATCCTCGTCTGAGTCGCTGTTGCTGTTGCTGTTCCTGGGATGTCTGGCAAAAACAAGCACTGGTTTAGAAGCATTCATGATTCTGGCCAACTGGGGCCTTAACAAGAAGAAAATGTGCTTTTAAAAAATAAGGGCATTTAATGTTCTACTTCTTGACCTGGATGGTGGTTACACAGGTGTTCATCTGCAATATTTGTTTTGTGTACTATTCCACAAATGTGATATATTTCACAATAAAAAAGGGTTAAAAAGAAAAAATAAATAAGGTACTTTTGCTGTAAGTCAGAATACAAACAGGGAAGGATGACTCACTGGGGTTATACGAAGCACTTTTCATCAGAATGAAGCACTTCCTAATTCGTATATACAGTTATGAAAAGGAAGGGATACATTTGTTTATCTTTATAAACAAACAAAAAGCAACAAAGATGAAACCCAGGATCTAAACTGGTTGTTGAGATTTTGAAGAATTAACCCTCTCCCAAGGCTGGAAGAGTGTCCTATTACCACCTGTGCTAACAGATACCTAAAGAAGAGTAAACTCACTACAGAAATTGTCCTGGGATTTGCTATTGCACTAGGTCCATGACTAGACTTACTAGAGATAGGAAGTGGGGGCTAAAAGGGTCCTTTGGATTATTTGCCTTTGCTCCTGAGTTCCCCTCTACTTGTCAGTTCCTATGTGAAAGGAAAAGGGAAGTGGTGCTCATGCTTAGAATGATGGTGGCACCCATGGAATCTCGGCTTCCTGGAGGCTCTGGAGGAAAGAACATTCCCTTAAACACTATGACAGCTGCTCTGGAGCAGACATACTTCANTTCCAACACAGAACTCCTGACTTCCAGCATCTCTGCTCTTAACCATTTATTACACTGCCTCCTCCTGACACCAACTGTGCTAAGAAATGGAAGGAGGCTGATGTGCAGGCAGGAGCCCCGGCTCCAGGACAACCAGAGGCAAGCTTCTGTCAGTTCCCAAGGGCAGCAGCAGCAGAGCAAAGGCAACAGGCCAGTCAGGTTTCCTGTCAGGAGGGCCTTCCTCTTCCTCAGTGGAGCACTTCCCACTCCTGCGTCACTTCTGTAGTGTTTTAGGCTCCAAATTGCAACCACAGAAGGAAGCTGTGCCTGAAGAAACCTCACAGTGTCTTCTGATGTGGCAACATAGTCAGGGGAGAATATTCCTATTCTGCTAATTTGGGCACACATCTGGGAGAGATATCACATAGAGGGAGAACTGACTCCAAAACTGCAAATGGGGATATGTACTCAAAAGCACCTTTGTAGCCAAAACTTGGAGAAAGAGGCAAATCATTGGAGAAATCACTATACATGAGGTTAAATCCCTCCATCAATAGTTTTCCAAGGGACTGGCTATGAATATACTTTTGTTTAGTTGCTGCTTAAAGGGAGTAGCCAGTTGGAAATGGCTTTTAACTTAAATTCTTAGATGTCACTTTGGGATTAACTAATTCACCTCAAGTAGTATGTGACATATTGGAAAAAGCCGGGAAAGAGGAGACAGACTTGGATTCTAGTCTTAACCTCACCAGTTCAATGAACCTCTGAATCTCAGGCTCTTCACCTTTCAAAGCTGGATATCCGCCTGGCCTCCCTTACATTGTCAGTATAGTTCCCAGAGCTGCACATGCTCCTCCCTCTGCCGATGATAACACCTTTTCCAGAATTCTCCACCCTGCTGGGCCTTTGAGTCACCTCAGGACTCCTGTCCATCAAGAAACCTCGCTTTGACTGCTCCCTCCCACTGGGAGCTGTTTGGCAGCCTCCTTTGTGCTCCCACAACCTGTGCAAACATAATCACCCCATTTCTCGCACCTTACTTTTACGATTTTTGAGGACAGGAAGAGCATTTTTCTCTCTGCATTTTCAACTTCCAACTCAATGCCTAATACAGTGCACTTAATAATACTTGTTGAGTAATTAATTAAAGCTCTTTTATAAACTGTTACATAATATTACTCTTAAATTATTAACCACTGAATTATTAAAAACAAAAATATATAGCAGTACCTTAGTTTTCTTGCATCTTTTTTTAAAAAACGTCCATAATGGATATGTTGACTAACCTGATTTGATCATTACACATTGTATACATGTATCAAAATATCACACAATACCCCATAAGTATGTATAATTATTATGTATCAATTAAACTTTTTTTTTTCCCCTTTTTGTCTTTTTTACTGACTGGTAACGGGATCGCAACCCTTGGTGTCGCGCCCATACCGGGGACCNTGGAGCAGACATACTTCACTGGCATATTCCTTAGTTTTGGTTTCCAGGACAGATATTCCAAGAAAGGAATACTGAATCCTACAGGATTCAGTCGGAAAGGTGAAGGAGGTGAAATATATTACTCTCTTCAGAAATGAAAACATCCCCGCAGACTGAAGAAAGGCTCTTTGTGTCTAAATCTGAAAGAAGAAACCTAGGCACACATTATGTAACCCAGATCACTCTGAGAGAACATGAAGAACGGTGACTATGAAGAGGACAATGTATATGCATTCCATAGATATATTAAAGGCCAGGGGTCCCCTGGGATCCAATTCACCTCAATCCACCTGGCCACATAAACAAACACATTTCACGACGGTCAGGACAATGTTTAATGAGGGAAGTGGCTCAAATAAACTTGGCATTGTCTCAGGTACAGGTTTGGCAGTGGCTCAGCCTCTCACACTTTCTGCCTACACATTTGAAACCACACATTTCACTACACTAATCAGGCATGCTTCTAATCAGCGGACCAGGGCAACGATGTTGGGGCAAGGGCAAAATAGCACTTTAGGAAAAGCAATCCACGGTCAGCCAGTGTCTTCAGAGAAAAAGGGAACTGCAAATCTTTACAGATCATTCTCTACAGATCTCTACCCTGTGAGGCCAGCCTTCCACAAGCACCCTCAGCCCCCTCGACACGTTAAACTCTCTCTCTCCTCTAACCAACCAGAACCTCCTATTCCTCCTCTAAGACTCAACTCAAACACCTTCTCTTTTATGAAAAAATGACTTTTACAACTCCCACCACCACTCCAACTCCAGATTAGGTATGGTCCCTGGACAACAATAAATGTAAAACTTATGTGGTAACACTTATCCCACTACAATGTGACTTTGGTTTATCTGTTCTTCTCCTCTGCCCCTCTAAAGCAAAAACTTCTTAGGGAACTTATGGGTCTATGTCTTTCTTCTCTGTATCCCCAGCAATTAACACACTGTCTCATAGAATGGATGTTTGAATGCTGTTGAATGAACGAATGAAATGGCCATGAAAAAACATGGGGTATAGTATTAAGAATCCTAGTTTAGGAATCCAAATGGGGGCAGCTCAAGCTTGAGGCGCAAGTTGAAGACAAATAAGTTCAAGTATTGCTTCACCAGGTATGCCATGATCTTAAGGACAGTACTGTATAGGCAGTTTAGGACAAGCCTTCTGCAGAGCAGGTAGAGTTGAATCACAACTGCCCAACAAGTGAGGAAACAGTCAAGAAATTTTCTACCTTCACATGACCAGGATCAGGCTACCCATAATACTTTTAGTCAGTCAACCTAGGACAAGCCTTCTGCAGAGCAGGTAGAGTTGAATCACAACTGCCCAACAAGTGAGGAAACAGTCGAGAAATTTTCTACCTTCACATGACCAGGATCAGGCTACCCATAATACTTTTAGTCAGTCAACAGTGGGGCAGCAAAATGATAAATTTCATTTACAAGGATGTCAACTAGGAAAGTTCAGCTAATAACCATGAAGAAATAAGACTTCAAAATAGGTTTTCTTCTTCCACAGAGAAACACGTCGTATGACAAAATGACAGGGTCAGAACAAGATAGAAGATTCTTCCAGTTATAAGATTCCAAGAAGCTGGAGAGAAGACATTCTAGCACAGTGACCACTCCCAGTTATCTATTTCCTCCAATTTTTAAGAGTTTGTTTCTCCTCTATTTTAAAAAAAGTATATTTTCCCTAGTACAGACAGGCTGATTAACAATCACATATGGTTTACCCACATGATTGAAAAAATTTACCAAGGAAAAAAGTCCTACCCTTCATCAGCGATTTTAAGTTTATCCTCATCTGAAGAATCATCACTTGATGATATTATGGCTTTGGATTTTATTTTTCCCTTCATTGAAGGAGGCAGACGTTCTGGCTTGGGCTAAAGAAAGAATGTCAAACATAGTAGATTAGTTAAGACTTTTACATGAGGACATCTTGTTAAACTGGGTTTGCATTACAGTGATAACAATTAGCCACCAATAAACTTTGAAAACAGCATTGGTGCTTGAGGAAGCTGTAGGGAAAGAATGTGTTCTAGTGTACTACAATCTTTTATGTCTACAAAGGACAGAAAAACCGTAATATAAACTTACAGTCTTCTTCTTCTCTGCTCTTGGTGGACGGCGCTTTTTCGGTTTGGGGCCATTTTCTGTTTCATCATCATCAGATCCTTCTTCTCCCTTCGGAGGTCTAAAATAGTGAACACCAAG